CTGCCTTTTTTGCATTTCTCTGTTAAATTCCTTCAATCATACTTCATGTTTAACAGATGATTTTTTAAAATATTATCATATTTTGCCATTACATTAAAAAAAAACATATTTTAACATATTGATGCGATAAACTTACATGTCCGCCAAACGTTCCTGAGATAAATTTCAGAAGTATTTCTTTACAATACCTTCACAGATACATCTACACACAAGAAATTGGTCAATGGGTGACTGTAAAAACAAATGGCAATGTGTAAATGTGCTACCACAGATCAAACACTAGATACATCAGTAATAACCAAGCACAGTACTCTCTAAGAACAAATCTCATAATTGCTTAATGGTGTCAAATAAAACATTTGGTGTCTATATAATTGTTCCTATAAGATAAACAAAGCAAAATGAAGAGAAAGACACTATATGGTGAAGTGTAATGAATAAATGAAGTGATGGGGAAAATGAGGGGGGAAATTACAAAGACCAAGGGAACATGGGGAATCCCATTTCCTTAATAGTTCCTCTCCATTTTACTTAACTGTGTCTAACATGTTAAATCTAAAAAAAAATCAATCAAATTCTCCCTCACATAATTATTCTGTTTTCTGGTTGCAAGTTTTCTTTTGTTCCATTCTTAATTAAGTAGAAGAGTTACACATTATTCGTACAAATCTTTGAGGATACTTTTTTCTTTAAGGAACACATATTTATACACATTTGCCTAGCATCCATACTTTTTGAAAACAAGTTCCCCCTAGAAAAAAAAAGCATTTTGAGAATTTAAGTATATGCATTTTTGGCTATAATTTTCCAAAAGTACATATTCTTGTTGTGATGTTGCTTTGAACTGTTAGCTGCATAACAACATTCTAAAAATAATTCTGACTTCAACATCTTCAAAAATTTTGAATTGCTCACAAACAGTATTTCTAAATTAACCCATCTATTTAGTCTCAGGGGTGTCAAACTCATGTCTTCATGGTGGCATCACGTGACGTATTGGGACTGTCCCCCCCCCTTTGCTAAACCGGGCGTGGGCGTGGCCAGTGCATGATGTATCTGGCCTGCAGGCCGGGAGTTTGACAGCCCTGGTCTAAGTGAAGATCTGTAAGAATGACACAATTGAAGATATAGAACAGCTCCTTTTCATGAAAGAAAGGTGCAGAGCTAAAGCTTTTCAGGTGAAAATGAAAGGTGTTCCTTTAATAAGGAAACAAAGAAATGTTTCTTTAGGGTGATGAAAACATCTAGCAAAAAAAATCCAGGAAAGTACTTTGTGCAGAGACAAAAGAGGTTTAGCTGGAATAATCCAGAAATGTAGCTATATTTCACTGTTGCAGAAACTTCAAAGGAGTCTGATGCCCCCTTTGCAGATGGACAGATTTGTTATGGGATCAACCTCAATGGACAAAGAACTCTATTTGGCAAGAGTGATTGTGGGCTTTCCTATACTTCTTTTACTCTATTTGGTTTTTATGTTTTCTTTCCTCAAGATAAAAACGGTAACAGTAACAGAGTCGGGAGAGACCTTGGAGGTCATCTAGTCCAACCCCATGCTCACGCAGGAGACCTATATTAGGGATTCTAACCGCCAAACTGCCAACCTTTCTGATCGACAAGCTCAGTGTCTTAGTCACTGAGCTACCTTAGCCACTGGGGAATCAAACTGAAGGGCCAAGCTCACCCCTACTCGAAAGCCAGCAAAACAACCCAAAACTCTGTTCTTAAGTTCTGCCATTCCTATATGTAGCTGATGTTATCACATGTGCAGCTGGGTGCTATAGTGAAAGATGCATGGAGTCTAGTTCAGAAAAAAAAATGCATTTATCAGACATTGGGGAAACTATAATGTTGAACTTTCTGCTGCATTCTATAAACCCCAAACGCTGAATTTTGTCATTGTTTTCATAAGCACACAGAAAAGTTTCAGCCAAGCACCTTTTCCCTACCTTGGGTTTTCTAGAGCAGTGTTTCTAAAATTTGGCAGCTTTAAGATGTGTGGATTTCTACTCCAAGAATTCTCTAGAGCAGAGGTCTTCAAATGTGGCAGCTTTAAGACTTGTGGACTTCAACTCCCAGAATTCTCCAGCCAGCTGGAAAATTCTGGGAGTTGAAGTCCACAAGTCTTAAAGCTGCCACATTTGAAGACCTCTGCTCTAGACAGCATGGGGGCTACTCTGGGAGTTGAGCTCCATACGTCATAAAGTTGCCAAGGTTGAGAAACACTTCTCTAGAGCAAAAAACAAAAACAAAAAACAACCCTAGTTCCTATTTTAGTCCCAACTTCCCTTCTGTGCCAGCTGAAGAGGTGGGAGAAATGCTTTGAACCAAATCGGAAATGATTGACCACTGGAATCCTGAGAACTTCCATTGTCCTGCTCTAGACTTCAACTCTATGCTTTGTTCCATACAGAAAAGAGCAGAGCGAAAGTACTTGCGCAAAATAAAAGTGCAAAAGCCCATTGATGTGTCAAATCCCACCAGGCAGCTGAGCATATCTAAATTATTTTATAAGCCTAGAACTGAATTTGATGTTTCCATAGATTGGCTGTTCTCAGCTTTTATTTTTCATGCTAATCAGTAGCATGATCAACGAGAACCAGATGCAGTGGTTAAGTCACCAGGCTAAAAACTAGGAGATTGTGAGTTGTAGTCTTGTCTTAGGCACAAAGCCAGGTGACCAGTCTCACTCAGCCATAGGAAGAAGCAGTAAACCACTTCTAAAAAAACTTTGCAAAAAACCTGCAGAGGCATGTCCTGGCAGTCACCAGAAGTCAACACTGACTCACAAACAACTCCCCATAATAAATAAATAAAATGCTACATTGAAATCAAAAGCTGTTAAAGGACCATTGAAAAAGCCCACATGGCATTTTCAAGCAGCATCCACAATCTTCTCAAGTGTCCCTAAGAGCCCCCCTCCCAATTAATTCTTATTATTCTATTTTAAATATTTATTTGCTTAAAGCTCAAGATTTGACAGTCTCACACGATTTTTGTAATTACTTGTATATCATGCCCGGCACATGGATTTTCTGCAGAACCTTTACCAAATCCCAGGGGTTCCTGGCAGCTGTGGCCACACAGATTCCTGTTGGGAATGAAGAGTTAATGGGGGAAATGCCCTATCAGTGGATATTCCCCCCAAAAGAAAAGAAAAAAGAAAATTTCTAATCAGTGTTGTTCAATTGAAATCAGGCAGCTTTTCCATGAGTTTCCTATTAATGAGTAGTTGTTAATTTTCCCCCCTCTGAAGCCTGAGGTTTCTCAAGTTAACAATTAAAAAGTAACATAAACAGTTAAAATGGGATTTAAATTCTGGGAGTTGAAGTCCACTCCTAAAGTTGCCAAGGTTGGAGACCCCTGGTTTAAATCATTTGAATTAATTATTGACTGTTTCAGACAGAACAGGTCTGATTACAGAGAAAGTCTGGATTCCTGTCCTAAAAGCTGAAGGAGGAAGAAGTCAAACATGTGACAGCATTCCAAAGGTTGAGAGAAACAGCAAGGAAGCCTTTTCTCACGTATCCAACACACAAACCTTGGAATGGAGGGGCGTCTTTAAGAACTTTAACATGACTGAATATAATTAATTTAAATAATTCATTAGTGGTTATTTTTTAATTATTCTCAGTACTTATGGTAGTTTACAAATAAAATATAATGTGGATGTTTTAATGTTGCCTATATTTACAAACTGCCTTAGAATATGTTATATGTAGAAAGAATGAATGCATAGATTTTCACGACTGGACAGGATGAAACTGAGATGCGTGATTTTATATTCAAAGAAATTTAGGACTTTAAAAATCAAAAAACAATTAATTGTACCCCAAATAGAACTGACAAGCAGGGGTGTCAATATCGTGCCTAACCTAGTTATGAAGTCTATCAATGAGAGGTCAAGGGACATAATGCATGTAATGATGTCATGATGTAAATAGTTGCCTTAAATCAATATAGCTAACTAAAGGTAGAAGGTGTGTTTCATTATTTTATGTTATTGTGGCTTACTGTAGCTGTTACTGTTCTTGGTTGCCCTGTTTTGTATCAGTTGAAGTTTCTGGACACTTCTTAAAGAGAACCCAACATGAAGAACAGTGTAGTCAGGCACAGTTCACAGTTTCCAGGGATGGTTCAGGGATGGTTCAGGGATACTAAACCTTGCATTCTTAAGGGCATTTCCTAGGCCAGTGCTGGCAAACCTTTTCAGCACTGAATGCCGAAATGGGAGCGCACGCGCACACGCATGCTGGAAACCAGAATGCCTGGTGCGTGTGCCAGAAAGATGATTGTCCTGTTTCCGGTGCACACCTGGTCTTCCGGTTTCCGGTGCGCATGCGCACATGAAGACCAGCTGGCTGGTGGCATGTGCGCGCCAGAAATCAGAAGATCATTTTCTCGGTGCACATGTGCGGCTGCTCTTCCAGTTTCCGGCGCTCCCGCATGTGTGAAGACCAGGTGGACAGCGCACCGGAACCCGGAAGAGCAACAGGCGACGGCTCGCGTGCCCAGAGAGATGGCTCTGCGTGCCATTTCCAGAATGTGTGCCATAGGTTCACCATCACAGTCCTAGGCTAACTTCTTCATCCCAGGTGCTTGCATATAAAACTCACATATGAAGCTGATCATTTTACAAGCTTTAGAATAATGTATGCATTTAAATATTCATATGGAACAATAATGCATATACAATTCCTTAACTGTCCTTAATGATGCCACAGTTCCAACTATGTTTTATATATTTGTGTAGAGCTGCCTCCTACAATGAGAAGCTGGTAGGGATACATGAATGTGATTGACTGGGCTCATGGGTTGGCACATGGACATGCATAAGGTGGTTGATCAGACACATTCTATTTGGTCCTCCATTTCCTATTTTGTACTTCCAGGTTTGTCTGTAAACACCTCAATCTCATATAAAATAACCATAATTATTTTTGATCTTCAGTACTTCAAATATTACATCACTATTCACAAATGCTGAATATTCATTGCAATAATTCCTTCACAACAATAGCAGTATATTGTACAAGTTTCTAAGAGGAAATAAAGCCACAGGTACTTGAACATAGAACTCAAATGCATGGTAAATGCTTAGATAGCAGTCAAGACAAACTGGGGCTTTAAAATGCTGCCAGTTCATTTTATCCGAATGAATCTAGAAATGAGCTCTCCAAACCCAGGCTTTGCAATTAAATATGAAGACCTGCTCATCATTCCCCTTTACTAACTTATCTAAAGTACATTTGCACAATGGAAAACCATATTAAATGTCCGTTGCAATTAATAAGCTGAATGACATGCATTTTTAATGCAAGCAGTTTTTCCTGTTTGCTGTAATGTGCAGCTTGATGCATTGATGAACAGCGTCATGTCAAGCTATTCAGTTTCTTATCAGAAGTTGCCTCTCTTTCTGCCCTGACAGATATTCATTGTGAGATTTTAGGTTTTTGAGTTGTCCAGCTCTCCTTTAAAAAAAGAAAAGAAAAGAAGCTTATATTGGCATCTACCTAGGATACCATGAAGCTTAAGGCTGTTTTGGCAGTTAAATAGTCTCCTCTATGGTAGAAGGCACTCCAGAAATGCAACATTTGATAAAACCACAAATCATCAGCTGGTTGTTCAGTTCCAACCACATGGGGCTTTTCTAAAACTGTCTAAGTTGACAGACAACATTCAGTCTGAAAAAGATTAACAAATGGTCCAGTAAAAATTGTAATGATGCCGTAGTTTTCTTAACAGCAAATATCCAAAGTTTTGATCTGGATATTTCTTTCATTCTTTTTTTTTCTTTGGGTTTTTCCTGGATTTGGACTTCTGTGAAATCACTGCTGGACTTCATCTGTTGTCTCTGCTGGTTCCAATGGGCTATTCTCAAGATTGGAGACGGGTGTTTTCTTGTGGCTACGGACAGTGTGAGCATTGAGCATCTCCAGCAACAAATCGTAGACTGGTACTACATTCTTGCACTTCATACTAAGAAGATGCTCCATCCCTTTGTTACTGTAAAGAAAACATTGTGATCAGAAAGAAGTGCTGAGATTTAAAATACAGAGGTGCTCTAGGAGATTCTACAAGATTTTTAAATGATTCACACAACTGCACAATGTTGCATAACAGAATATATGGAAGGTATTTGTTTGGACCATCTAGCCGACGGATGTCAAACTCGCGGCATCACGTTGCCGTCACGTGACGTTTTGCGAGGTTTTTCCCCTTCACAGAGCTGGGACGGGCTTGGCCTCCGCGTGTGCATCCAAGCCGGGGTTGCCAGTTTGACACCCCTGATCTAGCCCAATTCCCTGCTCAAAGCAGGAATTCTACAACAGCATCCTTGATAGAGGACCACTTCGCTTGAATAGTACCAACAAAGGAGAAACCAGTGAGCTCTTGCCAGCAATGCAAAACAAAAATGGATTTAGAATATTAAAATTAATAAAAAGTAAACATTAATATTAAACTTTAAAAACTAAAACAGAAAACACTTGAAAGAACATTTATAAAATAAAATTGAAATTTTTAAATACTTCATGATTGCATTCAGGAATTCAGTAAACACTATGAAAGATTGGACTATCATTTGGTCTTCTAAAAATTTTTTTTAACATGGCACTCACAGGAATTTTAATGCAGGGTTCACCTTCTATAGCATTGGAAACTCATTCTGGGGATGAGACACTGGTATCCCTCATAAGCCATTTTATCTCATGAACTATTTTGAAGCTAACTTTTAGCTGACTTGAAAAACTAGGATTGGGCAAGAAAGACTATGATTCAATAATCCTTTCTCTGGGTGGCCAATAGAAAAGTTCAAAAACAGAATTCAAGCAAGTCTGCCACTTAGGAGTTTCTGGTGTTCTCGCAATTGTGACTCTGGGCAGCACGCTTAGTATAAAATCCTAACCAAACATACACGATAAGAAAATACAAAAAGAAATGGCAGCTGAGAACAAACCCAACTCTCATCTTAAAAAAGACAAACTCACAGTGACAGGCTCATCTAACCTCCTGACTACAAGCCTGAAGTTCAATCAGGTTGCCTCTACTCCTTTTCTAGCGTACTTAGATTGCAACAGATATTAAGGAAGAATCTGCTTGTATCCCAGAGCTGGGAGGCAGGGGGAAGCAAGATCAAAGCCAAAAGAAAAACAGACCCTCCCCCAAGCCATCACATTGTCTGGTTCTGGTTTCAAAGAAGACAGATTAGATCCAGAATGTGACTGGTTCAGTCCTTAAAATGAAGAATATCACAAGGATAGGCAAGCTGTGAGCTGATTTGGAATAGCACATAGAGGACTGATGAGGAAACTCTTCATTTTCTATAAATCACTGGGTGTGTGGTTTCAAATTTGAAAACCAATGATTGGATAAACCAGACTTGATTTGGAGGGGAAGGAGCAGGAAGATTAGATGGAGCTCAGATACATTATGGATCCATTGAAACCCTGGATCTAATTGCTATTTACCCAGTAAAGTAAGTGGAAGAAAAGCATTTAAAATGAAAATTATCATTCTGGCTAATGTAGCTTGCTGGTTGAAGTAAGGTCTGTCCAAATGCTGCTGGTCAGTTACTAATCTGAAACAATGATTTTTTTCAGTTTCTGAGCAGCCAGAAATTGGGTTAATGGAAAAGTTTCTATAAAAAGCAAAATAAGTCAAAAGCCAGCTTGTGCTATTTCTTACTTTCACTGATGGAAAAGACAATATTCATTAAGCCAATTCCACGTAATGACTCAACCTTTTTTAATGTGTCCTTTAAAAAGTATCAATAAATTTTCCAGTGCCAGGTCAATGTATTAACACAACCACAGAGCAGACTTTCATTGCCATCACAAAGTAAACAACTTACATGGAAGAGCTGGGTAGAAGAGTTTAAAGGGAAAAAAAATGAACCAGGTAATCTAATCAAAATTATTCTGCTCTTGCACCAAGAAAAAAATGAGGATTATTAATGGCATTGTCATTCAGCTATTTTGAGAGACTGAGGATGAAACAAATTGTTTTAGTTCTGATAAGCAACACAAATAAGATTTGCCTCTATAGCTGGCTGGGGAATTCTGGAAATCGAAGTCCCCACATCTTAAAATCACTAAGCTCGAGAAGCACTACTCTAGTAAGGCAGGATTGTTTCTTATGACTTCAGCTACACTGAAGCTAAAGTTTTGTGTCCTAACTCAGTATTTTGAAGTGAACAATGCATGATTTCTCACTTAAGCTGACTATCTTCTTAACTTGCTCTGAGGAGACTTCAGAGTGAACTACTGAAAAATTGGGTGCTCCAAAAAGTCATACACTGTTCTAGGCCTTACTGCGCTAAATGGCAGGTCAAGCCAATCTGGGTTTGGGCCAAGGGGAATGGGAGAAGCAGGGGCCAACTCTTATCAGTCACCATTTGCAATCAGATCCACTGAGAAGCAACATTATTCTTTTGATGGTATAAAGAGCTATCTCTGCTTCCCTGTATTTCTTCTATTAAAATGGGGAGAGCTTTCTTGGTAGCAGTGTCTTGCTTATGGAACTATATCACCAAAAAGATGCTTCTAGCATCATTGTTGATTTTTGATCTTTTCAAGGCTCATATGCCTGCCAACCCAAAGTACAAGTAGTCCTTGACTTATGACCACAATTGAGCCCATAATTTCTGTTGTTAAATGAGATATTTGTTAAGTGAATATTGCCCCACTTTATGACCTTTCCTGCCTCAGTTCTTAAGTGAATCACTGCAGTTGATAAATTAGTAACCCGGTTGTTAAGTGAATCTGGCTTCCCCGTTGACTTTGCTTGTCAGAAAGTCACAAAAAGTGATCACATGATTATGGGGAAGCTGCAAAAGTTGTAAGAAACAGTCGTAACAGCACTTTTTTCAGTTCTGTTGTAACTTTGAACAGTCGCTAAATGAACTGTTGCAAGTTGAGGATTACCTGGATAAATCTCTGAATAGAGAGAGCCCCTCCTCTTTGCCAGTGCCAGTTATGCGCATCCAAGGACAGCAATAGAACCTGCATGCCCTTTTTTTTTTAAGATTTAGATGTTCATTAAATTGATACTTCCAAGAGCTACAGTCCAAGCCAACTCTAGCCAGCCAAACTGGGCTAATTCTGTCTTCCTTATGGTCCATCTTTTCTTTAACCTGGGTGGAGACTGGACAGCTGTTCAGATAGTTGGTGTTTCAAGGAAAGGATTAGCTTCTGAAAGGCCTTCAAACAGAAGGCTGTTCTTTTAAAGAATGACCTAGGAATGGCAAGCTGACAAAAGCCTGGGATTTGATTCACTAAGGTTGCTTATTTGCTTAAATGTATTAGCCACCTAATTCCAATGAATGGTCTCTCCCAAAACATTGGAATCCATTCTTCTCTGTACAATGTGTGTTACAAAATTAGTGCAAGAGTAATTTTTATTGAAGTTCCACTGTGTATCCACTGCTGTTACAGTCAGTGATATATACAATTAAGAGGTATAGATTAGAATAACAGAGTTGGAAGGGACCTTGGAGGTCTTCTAGTGCAACCCCCTGCTTGGGCAAGAAACCCTACACCACTTCAGACAAATGGTTATCCAACATCTTCTTAAAAACTTCCAGTGTTGCAGCATTCACAACTTCTGGAGGCAAGTTGTTCCACTGATTAATTGTTTTAACTGTCTGGAAATTTCTCCTTAGTTCTAGGTTGCTTCTCTTCTTGATTAGTTTCCACCCATTGCTTCTTGTCCTACCCTCAGGTGCTTTGGAGAATAGCTTGACTCCCTCTTCTTTGTGGCAGCCCCTGAGATATCGGAACACTGCTATCATGTCACCCCAAATCCTTCTTTTCATTAAACTAGACATACCCAGTTCCTGCAATCGTTCTTCATATGTTTTAGCCTCCAATCCCCTAATCATCTTTGTTGCTCTTCTCTGCCGTCTTTCTAGAGTCTCTACATCTTTTTTACATCGTGGCGACCAAAACTAGATGCAGTATTCCAAGTGTGGCCTTATCAAGGCATTATAAAGTGGTATTAACACTTCACATGATCTTGATTCTATCCCTCTGTTTATACAGCCTAGAACTGTGTTGGCTTTTTTGGCAGCTGCTGCACACTGCTGGCTCATATTTAAATATGAGGTAACAAACACTTAGTGTTAGTATAAACTTGCAATGCAATATGCCAGCTCAAATGTTGTTATAAAAATATTTCTGGGCACCGAGCTGTGTAAAGGTCTAAACATTTTCATAATTGAACAATGTAATATTTTTGTACAATAAGATGCACTTTTCTTACAAGTACTGCTAAAACATTTAATTATCAGCTTTGGAAGCTGGCTATATTTCAGCAACTTGAACTTGGCCTTGTGTTTTTTAAGCAAAAATTCTGAATGAAGCTTTCTTCGGGAAAAGTTAACTATTATCACATCATAGAAAGCATTGCCTTCCATGAATTTTGTATTATATTTATAAAATCTTTGTTACAATAATTTTAATAGCTTAAAAATGATTAAGTAAAAACATACTGCTCAGTCCAGCACTCTTAAAGTTGCATTTTAATGTATTTAATCCATAGAATTAATGGACATTTATATTAGTTTTAATTTTGACTGGCTTCTTAAAAATAAATTTCTTTTATTTTTATTTGTATACCCCCATAAACCCTCAAAATTACATTTTAATTTAACTTAATATTTCAATTCAATTTGTCCTTACAATTGAATTACAATTCATCTATATAGGATGATAATATTTAATGACAGAATATTCTGTCATTAAAAATAAAATTCCACAAATAATGTATTAGATTAGATGAAAACTGAAGCAATTTTTTATCATTTAATCTTTTTTAAAGTCTATTTTTCAAAAGGAACTAATTGGCCTTCAAAAAGAGACATGCTTTGGAAAACAAAATGCAATAGCTTTAGTTACCTGTTGTTCTCCAGCAATAGATCAGAAACATACCGCCTTTTCTAAGCAGAATACTTTGCTTATAAGACAATTCAGAACTTAACAATATGGTATCCAATATATAATGATCATCATATATGTTACAGATGTTGTATTATGCAAGTGAAATTGCTGTGTATATTATGCACAAATGGATTATATATATTTACAGTTACATTAATAGGCAACATATATAAAAAGCTATGTAATAATTCATAAGGAGAAATGAAAGCAGAAATGAAAAGTAATGCAAGGAAGTCATCTCTCCTCCTTCACTATCAAAGGCAAAATCAGAAAAACAGAAAACAGAATAACCCAGTTGGAAGGGACCTTGGAGGTCTTCTAGTCCAACCACTTGCTTGGGCAGGAAACCCTACACCACTTAAGACAAATGATTATCTATTCTGTTCTTAAAAACTTCCAGTGTTGGAGCATTCACCACTTCTGGAGGCAAGTTGTTCCACTGATTAATTGTTTTAACTGTCTAGAAATTTTTCCTTAATTCTAGGTTGCTTCTCTCCTTAATTAGTTTCCACCCATTGCTTCTTGCCCTGCCTTCAGATGCTTTGGAGAATAGCTTGACTCCCTCTTCTTTGTGGCAGCCCCTGAGATATCGGAACACTGCTATCATGTCACCCCAAGTCCTTCTTTTCATTAAACTAGACATACCCAGTTCCTGCAGCTGTTCTTCATATGTTTTAGCTTCCAGTCCCCTAATCATCTTTGTTGCTCTTCTCTGCACTCTTTCTAGATAAAAAAGATAACAAGTTGCAAGAAGACATCTCCAACACCATCTAGAATGGTCTTACCTTGCATGCCGAACATGAGAAAGTAACATCAACAAATTTGCCAAGCGAGTTGTTTGTTGGGGTAAAGGGACCCCACTCTTTGCAATGACCCACACCAACGCATCTGTCACTGAGTTTAGCAGATGGCTCAGTTTTTTGTTGCTTTCAGGTTCTTCTGTAGCAGATGACAGTGGATACATGTCTGCACAAGAGTACAAAAAATAAATGTTATAAGGAATCCTCCTTCCCTTCCGATGATTAAATCTGAATTAAACATTTATTCTTTTGGGTCTATATGGTTCACAACGAGGGATAGCTTTTCAAGATTTAAGGTAGGAAATGTAAAAGTTTTCAACTCAGCCTGAAGATTCTGGGAATCAAACTTAGAAATCTTTACATACAGAGCAACTACTCTGTAACTAAGCTATAGACTTACTTTCTGATATAATAATAATAATAATAATAATAATAATAATAATAATAATAATAATATAATAATAATAGTAGTAGTAGTAGTAAATAATCAGAAAAGTTGAAGAAAGAGACAGCTACTTCTGTCTGCACAAGACCCAAGCCATAAGAACAAATGCATACAAAGCCAGAATTGGAGAAGACAGCAACAGATAGCAAGTGCCCCCTTTGCAAAGAAGCTGAAGAGACAGTAGCTCCACCTGGTTAGCTGCTACAAGAAGATTGCAGAAACTGACTACAAACAATGTCATGGCAAAGTAGCATAAATGGTCTATCAGAATATCCGCAAAAAGTATCATTTGCCTACAAACAAGAACTGGTGGGACCATTAAAATAAAGAAGGTAATAGAAAATGAAAAAGCTAAATGCCCTGGGACTTTAGACTTCAAATAGACAGGCACCTGTCAAATAACATCCCAGACTTAACAATTGTCGATAAGAAAGACAAAAAAAATCTGTGTACTGGACATGGCAGTACCTGGAGACAGCAGAATAGAAGAGAAAGAACTGGAGAAGATAATAAAATACAAACACCTGCAAATAGAAATAAAATGACTGTGGCAAGATAACAGATGTAGTAGTATAGTACTAATAGTAATAGGCACTTTGAGTGCAATCCAGTAGTGGGCTGCTGCATGGTCGCAAAGGTTCGGGCGAACCCTTAGCTCTGATCTCTGGCTGGGCCCGCCCATCCACCCCTGTTCTATGCTATCCATTATTACGTACTTTCTGGCTTGTTTGCTGGCCCAGCTGCGTTGCGCACTGCCCCCTGCTATTCTCACCGGAGCTGCCTGAGCTGATTAGGAGCCTGTTTGAAGCTCTGTTTCTCTCCCAAAGGGGCGTGTGCAAGCGAAGCGACCAGCGAACTCTTTGTTATAGAAAGTGCAGCCCACCTCTGGTGCAATCCCAAAACAACTGGAACACCACTTGAATACATCGGCATTGATAAATTCACTATCAGTCAATTGCAAAAGGCAGCTTTACTTGGAACAGCTTCCAAGCCTGCAATGCTACTTCTAACACCGTCAAACGGCTGACTGCTCGATGGACCATAATGATAATAATGTAATTGACAAACATTGTAAGAATTTTTTAGCAAAGATATAGCAATAGAATTTGGTCTAGATAAATGTGCTATAGTAGCAATAAATTGAGGTAAAATCACAGACAGTAATGAAACTGAAATGCCAAATGACCAAACCATCAGAAGTCATCAGGATGAAGTCTAATAGTATCTGGACATTCTACAGCTGGATAAAATCAAGCACAGTCAAGTTAAAAATGAGATTAGTAAAAAAAATACATCCAAAGAGTAAGAAAATTGCTAGACAAAACTGAATGGAGAAGACACTATTAAAGCTATCAATACTTGGACAGACTTGTGATATAATACAATGCTTGTACATGAGCCAAACTAGACAGTTCAGACTGAAAAACAAGAAAATATATGACTATTCACTATGCATTATATCCTCATAGTGATATTGATAGGTTAGCCCGCCCCCACAAAAATGAAGGCAGAGGTTTTCCTCATGTCAAAATAACTGTTGAAAAAGAAAAGTTAAAAAGTTAAAAATTGGAATGTATTAAATGTTCAGGAAACAAAAAATGAATATCAAAATAATGTAATAACAAAATAAAATGCTGGCAAGGAAAAGCATTACAAGGTCAATGTCTACAAAAGATTTAGGGGACAATGGATAAAAATAAAGCCTGGCAATGGCTTGTAACTAAAATAATAAAAAAAACAAGAAACAAGAAACTGAAGGGTTGATTTTAGCTGTGCAAGAGCAAGCTATTTGAGCTAATGCAATCAAGGCCATAATTGAAAAATCGTAAAATGATTCAAAATGCATATTGTGCAAAGAAGCAGAAGAAATAGTAGATCATATTTTCAGCTCATGCAAGAAGTTCACAGAAACTGATTATAAACAATGACATAACACAGTCACCAAAATTATTTATGAGGACATCTGTAAAATTATCATGTGCAAGTAATGAAAAATAGTTTAAAAAATAGAGTTTAAAAAATATATAGTTTAAAAAATAGAGAACATTATTAAACATTGATGAGAACAGACACCATATTAGCCTTGAATGAAAAAATGATAATAATTTAATGTCAATTCTGAGCCAGTAGCTGTGAAGATGAACTTTCTCATTTCCAAGAAATCTTTCTCAAAAATCCAGAGAAAAGTGGTGGCGGTGGTGCTGGTGGTGGGTGGAAGTTGGGAAGAGTAGCGGGTGGGGGGGGATGCTTGTGTTTAACCCATGTTTCCGCCTTATTGCAGTTACAAAGTATATGAAAATTGTAAACATGCTTACTAGTGGTGGGTTCCTCCCGGTTCCGAGCGGGTAGCGGTGACGATATGACATCACTGAACCAGTTCTGCCCCCTCGCCCTCCGCCCCCCACCCCCCATATTATTCTTACCTTTTATTTGGCCCCACCCCCCATCTATTGCTGCTCCTGAATCCCAGCTGATGGCTAGAGGGAAAACAACTGTTTAAACTCTTGCTGCGGGGCTTCAAAGGGCCGCCCTACAGCTGATCAGTGTTAAAAGAAAACAAATGAGTAGACCAGTGCCTGCAAAAATACATGAGTAGATCAGTGCCTGCAAAAATAAATGAGTAGACCAGTGCCTGCAAAAATACATGAGTAGATCAGTGCCTGCAAAAATAAATGGGTAGATCAGTACAGCTCTGCAAGCAGTTAAAAACCTGGTAGACCAGTACCTCTGCTAAATCCTAAAGAATTATCACATGACCATCAAGCCACGCCCACAAAATAAGCTACGCCCACAGAACCGGTAGTAAAAAAATTTAGAACCCACCCCTGATGCTTACTGGATCTTATCAAGTACTAAATGTACCTGAACAAAGTTTTCCTAATAAGTAGGAACTGTTCTCTCCCTTAGTTTTCCTCATATATTCTCTTGGCCCATAATACTACATACTGTAACTAGGACCAAAGAAGTAGCTGAAAGGTGATGTGAAATGTTATGTACGGCTCCTAATTATTTTTGTCTCTGCACTGTGAGCTATACCTGTGAAAGTAAATCATAACTTAGTTCAGGAAAATCTCCAGTTAGGAGGCAGGAGTTCTGATATTCCTAATTGTCTACTAAATTCAAAGTACACAATTTGCATTGTAACACAAAATACATCATTTGCAACATAATTCCACAAATGTGATTTGTGTTATTTTATAAAAATGTCATTACACAAAAGACATTAATTGCCACAAATTAATTTAACTGTCTAAAGTACAGCAGATACTGGTAGGTGCAACAAATGTCCATCACGGGGGATGGGGCGGGATGACTGGACAGAAATCTAATCCACTGCATGTGAAGTCCACGAAATAGGGGTCCATTAAATCAGAGACAAAATTTACAGACTCTTCTAAATCTCCTGCTCATTCCAGCCAGTTCAATTTCTTTCTGGTTAGCTGGCAACCCTAATTATATGAACACGCATGAGTTGGAAAGGCTGTTTTTTGATGTGCTGATAGCTGAGATGGTTGCCCTTTCCAAGGGTGAAAAGTGAGAACCAATGAGAAGAAAGAAACAGGCAACAGAATGACCTTAGTCGCTGCAATTTATAGGTATCACTTTTGGAGTCAGCTCTACAGGGCTTAGAATGGGACGGCAGCAGATTGGCTGTTTTCCAGGCAAGTAAAATGGAGTGTTAAATGTTTGGCTTGTTTAGTAGCTGTGAGGTCAGTTAGACCTACACTGGCACTTCAGACACTGTGATGTAAAGGTGGAGAAGTTATCTAAAGCTATTCAAAACAAGCGGTGGCATACTGCTATCCATTTGCAAGGCAAGTTTGTATTCTTCTGTCTTTATTTCACATACATACAGATATAGCAAATCCAGAAGCTATTTATGTTACCAGATGAATTACTCCATTCAAATTGGTTTAATTCTGATGCCCAAATATCTATAAAGAGATTTACAGTTCAGCTGGGGAAAATGTACTACCTATATCATCTATCTATCTATCTATCTATCTATCTATCTATCTATCTATCTATCTATCTATCTTGTTTCCCCGAAAATAAGATATCCCCTGATAATAAGCCCAATCAGGCTTTTGAGCGAATACGCTAAAATAAGCCTCCCCCCGAAAATAAGCCCTCCCTGAAAATTTTATTTATTTTTATTTTATTTTGAATTTGTATACCGCCCTTCTCCCTGAGGACTCAGGGCGGTGAACAGCCAAGTAAAAACATCAAGTACAAATATTAAAATACAGTTAATATATATATATATATAAATTTGGCCCCATTAATTAAAAACAATATTTAATATTTAAACATAGAGCTGGAAATCAGGTAAGACGGCAAGAGGAGCCCCATCTTGCTCCACGGGCCCCAAAATAATAAGACCTCCCTGAAAATAAGGCCAAGCGCTTATTTCGGGATTAAAAAAAAATAAGACAAGGTCTTGTTTTCGGGAAAACATGGTATCTATCTATCTATCTATCTATCTATCTATCTATCTATCATCAATCTATCTATCATCGATCTATCATCTCTCTATACATGCACACACACGCACGCACACACGCACACACACATATACACGCACACTAATTGCTAAGAGACTTCTTAGAGATTTAATTGTTACAGACATGGAAACTTAAAGAATGCCCAACTCAGTGACTAACAGGAATGGGATTCTAATCTCTGGTTGCTAAAACAAACAAAAAGTATAATGAGATATCTCTAAGACTAATAAATCTGCTACTGAGTGAACCTATACATACACACACACACACACACATACATATATCACACAGCTATTTATGCAAAGGTATCTCAATTTTCCACTGTCTTTTTAGTGGTCATATTTATCTAGGAAGTTAGTGGGTAACATTCCAAGGATTTATTCTATTAGATTTAATATATTTTTAGAATTCTGTGGATGCTATTATGAGAGTGTGTTGTGCATACAATGGCATCTGCAGGCACTGTAAATGACACTATGCTCAGTCTAGCCAAAAGTCTAGCTGTTTATTTCATGCTAAGACTTAGCAGGATATCACACTTCCAAAGTCCACCAAATTGTTGCTGAATGTCGGCAGTATGTTCTGGGAGACACTGAATCTTTCAAAAAGCTGGGTCTTTGGCAGTGGTGGGATTCAAGTAATTTAACAACCGGTTCTCTGCCCTAATGATTTCTTCCAACAACCAGTTTGCCAAACTGCTCAGAAAGTTAACAACCGGTTCTCCCGAAGTGGTGTGAACTGGCTGAATCCCACCACTGGTCTTTGGCCACATGTGGCTCACAAAATACAATTACCTATTCCTCATTTGCAGTCGTATAGATTTGGGGGAGAATGGGAAGGGGGTAGGAAGGAGATCCTTAGGCTGTTTATTCTTGGTAACAAGATCTGAGAGAAGACATCATCTATTCTTTTTTAAAAAAAAAAATCCAGCAAAACATAATAATCATGAAATATCTATCAAGTAGAAAAATTGTTATTCTTAATGTGATGTACCTGCATACAAATCATAGGCAAAAGGTGTACATTTCAGAATGCATGAACATTAATATTTAATTATTTTAAACAATTCAATACATATTAATATAATAATTCTACAATTGTATACTTTTACATAAGTCATATTTGTGTTGTATTGATTTCTGATAAGTCATTTTCTCTTGTAAAGAACAGTAGATCATTTTTAATCAGAACATATTTGTTTTATGAGTCACAATGTAAATTGTACTTCTTTCATTGATAAAAAAATCTAGAAGATGTCATAAGACTAGATGATCATACTGTTAAAGAACACAGCAATCATAAATATTTTATGTATTTATTAGTATTTATTACATACATACATTTATTCTATGTATGTAAAACCTTGGGAGAAAAAAAAGACAAGATTAAAAAGTAAGTTGTTTTGTAGCTAATCAACCAACCAACCAACCAACCAACCACATTTTATAGCCTTGCACCCTCTTCAGGATACCAGGCTGTGACTTTAAGTCACACAATTCCTACTATGGTAATCAGTGTAACCAAATATACTGATCACTATGATAATCAATAAAACCAAAGGTGCTTTTTCAAGAGGCAACTGGACTTTCTGAATTTTCTTTAAAGATGTTTCGCTTCTTATCCAAGAAGCTTCTTCAGCTCTTCTGAATAAGGGATTCTGCCTTATTTCTTACTTTCCAACTCTATTTCATTCAGACCAGTTCAGAGACCACTTGGAACAGAGTTTTGGTAGCTTGTTCATATGCCATAAAGCCCCCCCCCCCCACCCTGCCGCCTTGGCTTCTCTCATTTGTTAATAGTTTCAAAAAAAGATTTAACTACTCTTTCAGCTACCCCATCAGAAGATATGTTTTATAAACTGACCCTCCAATAAACATTTTTTATTCTTTTGTATTTCATGTTTCTAGATGGCCCATATCCCTCACGTATCATATGGATTGTGCGCATACAGGGAGAAGGAATGTTAGAAATGGTTATGCTTCTATTCTTTGTGAAGAATGATAGAAGAGCTACTGTTGAAAACACAGAGCAGTGGCAGGTGGGTAGGGTAATAAACGCAGTAGTTAAAATAGAAGAAGTGAGCATTGATGGGCTGCTTTATACCAACACCCATCTAGTTCCCTTTTTTTTTTTTTAATGGAATCATTGGAAAACCCAGTTCATCTTGCAAAATATTGTGTGCGATTGGAGAGACAATAGGGAAGCAAACAATCATGAGATAAAAGCCAGGAAGGCAATCAAGCATAAAATCAGCATAGCAGGATTTATTTGCGGTTCATAAATGGCAACACACAGTATGGAAAGGCTTTAAGAATGTGCAACTCTGCTTACTATGCAGCTTATATTCATTTTGTCAGTCTCTTTATTTCCTTCTCAATATAGATGGTTATTCAATCTTTTCTTTGACCATTACATTGTTCCACATTGAAGTGTCCAAGACAAAATGCCTTAGAGCAAAACAATAGTTTACAACATCCTAAAAACACTAATGGTGATTACGTTCAGTTAAATTAGCTTAGCTAATTAGCTAAATTAACTAAGCAGTTGTTAAGAAAATGGCTCTTCTCTGAAAATGCAGATACTCTATGTAAGTTTTAAATAGAAAAAGAGTGGCTCACGTGAATGCCCCATTCAGAATAATGCCATAATTAATTATAAAAGTAAATATCATATTCACAATTCAGACAAGACAACATTTAAAAGGTTTTGAAATTCGCCTGCTTTCAATGAGAGCTATCTAAAGGTCCCTAAAATAAAATAAAAATAAATTTGACTACAAATATGTTTTCGAAGCTTTTAGAAGCATTTCATCCAGATAGGCACTTGAGTTTGTTATGATGATTAGCCTCTCAAGCACAACTGTAACCATCACTGATTCATGGGCTCGTTGGATTGTAAAGGAGGCCTCTTTTCTCCAATACAACTGATAGTGAAAAGAGTCCTCTATTGCTTTTGATAATGGTAGAGAGACAGCTTATATATGAACATGCATACACATGTGTGTGCATGTATTACAACAGGCGCCATCAATTTGAAAGGGAGAAATATGTTTTAACACCCTCATTTTTTAATGTAAGAAGTAACTTGCTCAATTTGATCATCAGATCCTGTATTTGGGGGTCAATCAAAAGAACAGCCCCCAGAGGGGTTGGAGAAACACTGGTCTGGAATATACAAACTTAATTCCATAGAAACAACTGGGAAAACAATTGGATGCAGGCACACAATCATGCAGAATGGCACAATATAATGACCTAGGTCCGCGATGGCGAACCTATGGCACGCGTGCCACAGGTGTCACATGGAGCCATGTTGCCTGGCACGCCAGCTTAGCTCCGGGAGTCTCTGGAGGCTGGGGAAAGCAAAAAACATCACTTCCTATCCAACTGGAAGTTGGGAAATGGGCCATTTCGGGCCTCCGGAGGGGTGGGGAAGGCTGTTTTCGCCCTCCCCAGATGCATAGAGAGGATCTGGAGCCAGGTGAGAAAGAAAAACGGGCCATCGCGTGCCAAGAGCGGGGGGGCAGCTGGGGAGGGTCGCACACGCATGCACGGGCAGGGCGCATAGAATTATGGGTGTGGGCATGCGTGCACGCGCGCAAACCTCCCCTGCCCCCCCTTCCTGGCACGTGATGGCAAAAAGGTTAGCCATCACTGACCTAGGTCTTAGGTATAAAACCATTATAATATAAGGAAGGGAAAGCACTTTAGGTGTTTTTATTTCATTCACCTGAACAGTTCTTGCGTCCTTTGAAATTTTTCCTACCACAACCCAACTTTTTGTCTCAATAATAAGCACAGCTTGACATGACTGAAACTTCTACTCACTGGAATTGAGAAGAATCATTGCCTTGACACAGAGATATTCTTTGTGCTGCAATTTCAGCTCTCGAAGCCTTGAAGTTGTTGCCAAGAGCATATCAAAGATTTCCAAAATTCCTTCTACACATTTTCCCTCATCCCTAATTTGAAAATAGTCAGAGGATTACTTGACATACAAAGCATGCTTTCCACCAAAATACTGCATTTTATTCCAACATATAGTCACATTTTGCCTCTACTAAGTGGTTCATATTTTATGTACGCTGTGCGTATTTTAAGCATTAAATGTTCAACACAATCTTTGTTCATCTTATAAAAGGTGAAATCATACCTTCATTACAAGCTAACTCATGATCATATTCTTTTAACTTTCTTGCTTCCAGAAGTTTCTCTTTCTGTCTTGCTGTTCTGATGCTTAAAACTTCCTCCTAAAATTATATTTCATTCAACCTAACATCCCACACATATTTCTAGAATGACCAAAAATTCCAGGCTTGTTTTGACTAGTGAAATCACAATTGTACCGCCCCACCTACAGTTTCTTACAATCCAAAAAATGGTTTGTGGCTATAAAAAAAAACCTGCCCAGCCTAACACTAGATTGCTACAAAGTACTTTCTATAGCCTTTCCAGTTAACTCCAACTGAACACTTGTTCAGGAAATGATGAAGCTTCTTTTAATATCATTGCCAGTAAATCTGCAGGAGGGAATGAACAGGAGTGAAGTTGAATTGAATGTTAACCATGATAGTTCATGCAGGAGAAAATATTTGGGCCTTCCTGAAAATAGTAAAAGATTGTCTTTGCTTGTTAACGCATTTTCATTCAAATCTTTAACTTCCAAACATGCATGCCGGTACAACAATACTTATCTCTTACCTGTCAAGGACAAGATCTGGTGCAAATATGAGCTTCCCTGGGTGATCAATGGATCTCCACATTAGACCCACCATTAATACTTCCAACCAACAGCTTTCCAAAAGCCTTACTTGATCATATAGACTCAGCTCTATGAAGCCTTTAAAAGAAGGGGGAAAGGAAAGAAGGCATACTTACATCATGAATACCCAAATATATACACCTTCCTTGTCTCCAGAGCAATATAAATTCTTTAAAATTTAAAGTTATCTTCTTGATTCACTTGAAATTAGGAAATCCATGACCTAAATCCTTAGAAGTTTGTCAACTGTTGATTCCGAGTAGTGGACCCTTCCTTCCTTTATCTATTATCTATACTGGGTGGCAAACGTGGATTTTGGCTTTATAAAGGTGGTTTACTAATAAATAAATAAATACAGTCTGGATGCTTACTGCGAAGGATTCTACCAGACATGTTAAGATTTTGTAAAAACAATAACCTGAAGAACAAAACAGCAAGGGTAAATCAATCATAACTACAATTATCTGGTGCCCAAGGCTTGAAAGGACCGCCAGGTCTTTAAAAATTTCCTAAATGACATAATGGTTGAAGATGGGTGGACTTCAACTCCCAGAATCCCCCAGCCAGCAGCGCTGCTGGCTGGGGGATTCTGGGAGTTGAAGTCCACCCATCTTCAAGCTACCAAGGTTGAGAAACACTGCTCTAGAGGGTTATCGTTCCAGACAATAAGGGTCACAGATCCCAAAAGGTAACATTGTTTAATTGATGGAACATATTTAACATCACATGTTTTTTATTAAGTCAATCCTCTATATACCTTAAATGTTATGGTATTGATGGGGACAATGCAAGATGTAAACCACAAAACTATATTTGATCCTACATCTATGACGATTTCCCTGTTTTGCCTTCACCTCCCATTTCTTTTCCTACCACTCAATTGAGGATTTGATATTTCATGTGTTTTAGAGTCCACATGAATCGGATTAATCAGCCTTTGGGGGAAATCTTTCAACATTCCTTTCTGCATTTAATTTGCAATTTTGTATGCTCTTCCCATTTCACTTCCAGGCTAATATACACTTAGCTACCTGAAGTTACTACTAAATAACTTTTCAAACAAATAGGCTGAGACTGATTCTGGGCTTTATTATTTACTACTAATTAATTATTTGGATTAAATTATGATTTTATTGTACTTGTTTCTTAACTTGTGTTCGCCGCCCTGAGTCCTTTGGGAGAATGGCGGCATATAAATACATTTTAATAATAAATGAAATAGATGGATGGTGGTGGATAAAGAAACCAACTGCTTATCTAAAAATTCTTTCTTAGGAACATGAGAGTGAATGCATGTAATAAATTTAATGGCAAACTATTTTTGTACTTTGGACATTGGATTAAATCAATCTGCAGACAATAACAAAGTCTCCTTTTTGCATGATGCTGCACTTCATCACATTGTTAAGTCATGAAGAAAGACAAAAATAAGAGAAGGAAAGGCATACAAAAATAAACCACATTACTCAAGATTAGGAAAAGATCTTCCCCAAATCTCAGCAGAACAGCACCAAGCTCTCTTAGCTATTTATTTTGTTTGTTTGTTAAATTTATATATCACCCATCTTCAGGGGTGGACTTCAGATTCTTTAGCAACGGGTTTGCTGCCCTGTGGCTGGGTGGGCGTGGCCGGGGTGGGCATGGCCTAGTCATCCACCTGCACCACAGCAGGGGGGGGGTTCCACCCTCCCCAGGCTCCAGAGGCTTTCCTTGAACCTCCGGGAGAGCAAAAACAGCTTCCCCTGGGCTCCGGAGGCCGGAAACAGGCCCGTTTCAAGACTTCCAGAACCTCCAGTAGGCCCATTTTTTGCCCTCCCACACCCTCCGCGCAGCCCCTGCACTTATCTGGAATGATGAACAGGCTGCATGGAGACTCCTGGGAGGGGTGGGGTGGGGCGGGGTGGGGCAAGGCAGTATGGACATGGCCAGCCAGGGAAGGCATTTGGGGGTTTTCCGAACCCTGGCAATCCTTGGCTAGAGGATCACCCGAACCCTGCCAAACCCCCAGGAACTCACCCCTGCCTGTCTTACTGTCCAATGCAAGAATCAACCACTCACTTAAGAAGATCATGGTAGAGATGAAAAAGTGTTGTTTTTTTTAAGAGAAAAGGAGGAGAAAGAGGAGAAGAAGAAGGTTGTAAGAATTAATACATAAGGATGTGGAATGAAACTTCACTGCTCTCTTTCTTTAAAGAAAATGTGCTCTGGTAGGGAATGATTCTTATTAAATAAGATGGTAGAAGCAAGATTTAAGCACTAAGAACACTACAGTATTTATTTTATTTATCCCTTCTTTTACTTCTTTTACTTTACTTTATTGATTTATTTACTACTTACTGGCTAGTTTGCTTCAGTTTATACTTTGCTACATTTCTGAAGGCTCAAAGTGACTTTTGTTGTGCCTATATTTCAGAGGGATGTAATCTAATTATCCTTCTGATGTTTTACTTTTTTCAAATGTTACAGTGCAATTTCCAATTAATAAAAAATTAACTACCAAAAGGAATATCACATGCATTTTTAATGTAACATATATTTAGAAATATATTCTTACAAAAATATATATTTAAAATCTACCTGCATGAACCTAAATTTAAAACAATCTGTGACCTGCCCAGAGCCAGACAATATAAAATTTTAATAAATAAATATAAACAGTATTTGTATAATTAAATTTTTCCTCCTTTTTAGGTTTCTTATTCTTAAATTAATTTGTGCTTTTTCTTGCAGATTTTTACCATGTTGTAAGTTAGTTCAAAGTCTTCTGAAACCTTTGGGTGCAGCCCTCAAAACCTCTCAAAACTTGCCACCAAATTATAAATGCTATTGAGATAAAATATTAAAACTCCTAAATGTGTCGGATATTCTTGCATTGAATTTATTAAATTTATTTTATTTTATTTAAATCCAATACCTTTACCTTGACATTGTATTCGAAGAGGAAATGCATTCTGTAGTTGTAAAAAGGTTATTCATCTTTATTTTGTAAGTGGAATATTGTGTGGACATTTATCCAGACTAAAAAGGTTTATGTTAATATCTACAGTATCAATTTTTAAGATGATCACACTTCTATTCTGCCTTCCAACTTTCTCACACCACAGTTGTATCCTACAATATAAATACCGAATGCCAATTTGATTATACAGATTGAATTTAGCTAGTATTTCTCCTGATAGTCAGATTAATAAGGAAAACAGGCCACTCTGAATCAAAAGAAACAATATGGATGAAGACAAATGCTTGTTAAAAAAATGGCTTAGTCATGACTGTGGTAGACCTATCAAAATCAGTAGAACTTCAGTTAATCATGATTACATTAAGCCACATTTATTTCAAAGTGCTCTTCTAAATATGACTATAGTTGGATACAAGTTAGAGGAGATTTTTTTTCAAAGTGGGAGGAAAAAAATAACAACTGCATTTACTACAAAAATGGTTTGAATTAGAGGGGCAGCAGAATTACATACATTCTATCTCCATCGCTGTGAGTGACAAAGTAAGCAGGGAAAGTAATCAAAAGTGAAAATAGATTCATTTCCCAGCTGAGTGCAAATGTCCAGAATTCTCCAATGATCAAAGTCAAATTACTATCATCCATTCAGGATATCAAATACCTCCAAATTTCATTTAAGATTTTTAATGAAAAGCAATAGGCAAGTGGCTACTGTACTGTTTTTGTGCAAACCAAGACCTTCATTTTTTAAAAACCCCCCCTTCACCACATATATATATTGTTTTTTCAGCTGCAAAATCTGTTAAACTTTTGAACTTTTTTTATTTAAAAAACATTTAGGAAAATTTTAGATAACTTTTGTTAACTGTGCTCAGATTGTTGAAATCAAAATCTATATAGGTAAATGTCACCAATATTAGGCATTATTGTAGTAATGTCTGAAGTATTATTGTCTTTGTATCCTAGTTGTAAAGTTGTGTGGTTGTGGTGCGAAGCTGAACTGATTGTGGTTGAATGTTAGGAGAGTCTTGTGACAATAAAAAACAGTTTGACAGTAGAATCAAAATACAGTTGTGTTAATTGTCTTCATATGTTCTGTCCTTCAAATCATATGGTTGGTCTTTTGTTGACTCCTGCCCATTCTGTATTAGGGTTGGAATAGACTATACTGTAAATACCATCAAATATATGTAGAATACAATGCAGTTAGTCCTTGTTGTGGTCCGCCAGCAGCCTGTGGAGCTGGCAGCGGAGTCGGACAGCAATGAGTGCTGAGGAAGAACATGGGCCAGTCCTGGAGGCTGGGGAAGGTCCGGATGAGGGCTCTCCATCGGAGGCAGAGATGGGACCAGGGCCATCGGGGAGTGATGTGCGGACTTCGGAGCCTTCAGAGGCTGACAGTAGAGAGGTTGAGGAACAGGAGGAGCCTGTTCCTAGTGCACATATGAGAAGAGCTGCAGAAGGCAGAAGCAGATAGCAGAGAGGATGACTCGGGAGTAGGGCCAAGAGATGATTGGCCCCTCCCATAAGGCTTAAAAGACTAGCAACAGCTCTTGGCCTCTTTGCCAGAAAACAACCGTTGAGAGATTTGCTTCATGTTTGGCTGTATTTTTCTCAAAGAGCTGGGATTACTTCTACTTTAAAAATGTAAAAAACAACCCCTGCCAAATTAGCTAACCAGGGCTTTTAAGCAAACTAAAAGCAGCACCAGTCATAATGGATCAATTGAAAGTAATATTCTTTAAAGAGACTATATTCTCTTTATAGAGAAAACCTTAAACGTTGGATGAAGTACCGGTATATGGTCAAAAAACAAGGAGAAAGAATCACATAGATACAAACGATAGAAAAAGCCACTTGTTATCTAGATAATTTCCTGACTCACACTGGGAAGTCACAGCTGTTTAAAGATAGCAATTGAGAAATTCAAGTTTTTAATACAAATGAGTGAAACCTTTTCCAAAGCAGGAACCTGGGTTCTAAGTGAAATGCTAAAATGAAAAACAAACCTCAGGGGACCCCAAGTTGTCTACTTGAAACAAACAAGGGCCAAATATATCACTGGGTCTTATTCAACAAAATCCAATTCAGTGCTGAGAAAAAGTAAGATTTTACACTTAGGCAAGAAGAACCAAATGCACAGGTATAGAATAGTTTAGTTGGTACCTGGCTCAAGAGCAGTATCTGTGAGAGGGAGCTAGGCATCCTAGTGGACAACCACTTACGTATGCTGCAGCTGCCAAAAAAGCTAATGCAGACATAGGCTGCATCAACAGAGAAATTTAAAGCACTGGGAGCATAAGTAGTATTTCTCCAGTCTACTTGTCAAAAGATACAGCCAGGAAAAGTGAGGAAAATACTTGAAATGAAGGAGTAGATCAGATTATTGACCCAAGCATTCTGACTAGTCCACATACATTAAAGTTGCTAAGATTGAGAAATACTGCTTTAGAAAACAGAATCAGGAGGATCTTGGCAAACTGGGCAAAGCCTAGCAAGGTTAAATTTCCACAATGATAAGTGCAAAATCCTCTATTTGCATTGGGAAAAATCAGAGGTATGAATATAAAAGGATAGAATACAAAAAGTATCTGGGTGACTCATAAGCTGGATATTACCCACAATGTGATGCAGTTGCAAAAAAAGCAAATGCAATTCTATATTGTATCAGCACAAATATAATGTTGAATCAAGAGATGTCCTTGTTCCTCTCTATTCTGCTTTAATTAGGCTGCACCTAGAATATTACATTAAATTCTGGGCACCGCATTTTAGGAAGGGTAGTGGCAACCACATCAGAAGCGAGCAACAAATGATAAGGATCCTAGAAAGAAAACCCTCAGGATGTTTGGAAGTATGGTTATACTCAGAGATTGCCAGGAGACATGATAGTTTCTTCAAATATTTGAAGGGTTTTATATAAAACAGAGTTCCCAACTTTTATGGCTTTGTGGACCGGTAGAGGAGAGGGGAAGAGTCCGCATGAGTGGCAGTCATATGCACACACACCTCCATTTGCACGAACAGTGGGCACACGGGCCTGCCTCTCGCACAAATGGAGTTCATGCACAGGTATTTGCCCGCTGCTCAGGCAAGTGGGGATGCACCAGTGGTGGGTTGCTCCTGGTTCTATCCGGTTCTTGCAAACCAGTAGTAAAAGCGGCGGGAGGCTCCACCCACCTGCCCAGATGTCATAATGGAGGATCTGCGCATGAGCAGAAGCTTCTGCGCATGCACAGAAGCGTGCGCATGCACAGAAATGTGTGCATGCGCAGAAACATGTGCATGCGCAGAAATGTGCACGCACGCTCCTGTTGCGAACCGGTAGTAAAGGTAAGTAGAACCCACCCCTGGGATGCACACATGCTCATCCACCACTTCTGCAGCCCAGTTCCTAACCATTCAAGGCCCGATAGTGGGCCTCAGCCGGGGGATTGGGGACCCCGGATATAGAATATGGTCCAGAATTTTTCAGAGTTGGTCCAAAAGATAGGACAAGACAAGAAACTGTGGGTTTAAATTACAAGACAATACATTTGGTTGAACTTGAGGGCATTCAAGCATTGAACAGCCTGTCTTGGAAATTGGTCATTCACCTGCACTGGGAATGTTTAAATATGCTGGATAGTTTTGTCAAGGATGTTGTAGTAGCATATGCCTATACTCGGCTGGGGATTAGACCACCATAGATGATCTCCTTGATCCTGTGAAAGTTTACATTCTATGTTTCTACTTTTGCTCCAAACAATGGCCTTACCGAGGTTGTATTACCAAATAATAATGCGATCACTGATATGTTTTTTCTTGTGGTAGGCCTAAGTATTGTTAAAAAAATATTTATACTTTTTATACATATTTATATTTCGAATGTCATATTTCCTTACCAGGGATTTTTTTCGCCCAACCAATCATATGGACCAATTCTTTGTCTGCAAGTTTCGTCAAGGACATCATCATGGAAGCTTCGGTAAATGGCCTGTTGGGGCGACTCACCAACACATTTGGTGGTTCAGCTTCAAGTAATATGGAGACAAACTGTTCTGGGCTTATTGCATTGCCCAGGGCTTCTTTTGCTTGGGTGATACTGTCGTTATTCTTTTTCCCTTTGCCTACACAATGCACCAAATCTTCTGGATTGCGATGACGGCGAACAATACGATACCCACAACGCTCTCTTCTTGAACCTGAAAGTTTGAAAAATAATTGACCTAATTTAATATTCCAGTAACTCAATCACTAGAATCAGAGGTCTTCAAACTTGGCAGCTTTAAAACTTGTGGACTTCAACTCCCAGAATTCAATTCCCAGCATAGCTGGTTGGAGAATTCTGGGAGTTGAAGTCCACAAGTCTTAAAGCTGCCAAGTTTGAAGACCTCTGCACTAGGTTAATTATACATGTGTACCTAAATGGTATCAGAAGAGTTGATTGCCAATTTTCCAAAAGTCTACCAAATCCATGTTGGAAAATTCCGGTGAGCAATTTCCAATTTAGTTTGCACACACCCAATCCCTATACCCAGATCAAAGGAAGTATATGTGACATTTAGTTCAACTAGCAAAACTTTAGCAAGCATTAACCTTTTTTTTTTTTACGGTTGTAATGTTCTTATTGTTTACATTAAAAACAATATCATTGTTTATCATTTTAGAATTGTAAGCTGCTCAGAATATGGTTGACTTGGGCAGCTATAGAAATTGAACGAATGAACAAACAAACAAACAAACAAACAAACAAACAAACAAACAAATAAGAAATTGAAATGGGAAATAAAATATCAAGCGATCTTCTATTATGCACCATGAAGTAAACAAGTTAGTGATGGGTATGATGCAGGGGTGCTATTCAGCAGGTTCTGACAGGTTCTGGAGAATGGAAATTTTTAGTAGTTTGGAGAACCAGCAAATACCACCTCTGGCTGGCCCCAGAGTGGGCTGGGAATGGACTTTTTGCAATATCCTTCCCCCAGGAGTGGGGTGGGAATGGGGATTTTGCAGTATCCTTCTCCTGCCATGCCCACCAAGCCACGCTCACCAAGCCACGCCCAGAGAACCGGTAGTAAAAAAAAATGGATTCAGCCACTGGTATGATGTATCCATCAATCTAAACAAAGCAACATTTTTACATCAAATATTTTTTTAAAAAATCAGCCTCCAAGGACTTCTAGTAGCATGGTAATCAAAAATAAAAACAGTAAAAAATAAAATAGGTGTTAATCTTATCGGAGGCTTATGTTGCTTCTTGTTTGGGGGGCTTTGAAAGCTATTGAAAGAGGACTTGGGGCCAAATCTGGCTCATAGGATATTATCAAGGTCCTTATTGTAGACCTTGATTCTCTGGTACGATACATTTATTATCAGAAAAGAGCCCTGGCGACAAGAGAGGAGCTGATTGGAAATCAGGATCCCAGGTAGATGGTAGGAAGCCAAGCAATTAATTTGGCTCTAAATCAACTTTATTTTCTGAATTCTGGACAAATATAATATCCACATAAAAGGGCTTGCATGATGCAGAAAGATGCTGCAAATTTGCTAGAATGAAGGCACAATGTAAATCTAGTTCAGCATAATGAAATCTTGATTTAGTTACATTGCGTCCAGAGAACAAAGCGCTCAATTTCCCAGTTCCATGTCATTCTTCCATAATCAGTATGCCCTAGCCAGGGGTGGGTTCTACTTACTGTTACTACCAGTTTGCAACGGGATCGCATGCCAAGCTTCTATGCATGCACAGAAGCTTCTGCATATGTGCAGATCGCCTATGATGACATCCAGGGTGGTGGGTGGAGCCTCCTGCCGGTTTTACTACCGGTTCTTGCGAACCGGTCCGAACCAGGGGCAACCCACCACTGGCCCTAGCCTAGTATAGCAGATCCTACAAAAGGATCATCCTATACATAGAGTCCATCTCTCCCCCAGCAGATGATCAACAACTGCATTATTAAAACTTTTCTATTATCTAATTTTCTCTTTTTTCTTCATCCTGAAACTTTCTCTCTCTCTCTCTCTCTCTCTCTCACACACACACACACACACACACACACAGACACAGATACACACACACACACACAGAGAGAGAGAGAGAGAGAGAGAGAGAGAGAGAGAGAGAGAGAGAGAGAGAGAGAGAGAAATTGGATCGGATTCTTCAAATACCTGCTTGTAAGTTTCTACTGCCATTTATATGTTCAATCCAAAAAGTTGCCAACTGCCAAAGTTTCCATGGCTTAATCAAGCTAAATTTACAGATACCACCACAGTTTCTGTCTTGGCATTTAAAGCTATCCATAAATACAATAGAAATGGAATCAGCTCAAACATAGTTTATCAACCTTTCTACGAACAGTGACTCACTTTGCAAAATACTATATGGTGTAGCCAGAAAACTAGCTGCCTGATCTGACTATGGACAGCAAACAAATATTTCCTGGCATCTACATGGAGCTCAGCAGGAGTTTCCATCCAAGACATTTACTCTGATTCCAACAGTGTGTAGCCATAGACCATTCCTCATATCTTCCTCAGCCTTGTTTGGAACTGCATCCATGAGGCAGCTCTCTGTGAAGCCTAGGGAGACTGGGGGTGGGGTGGGGGATGTTAAATGGAAGCTGAAGGGGAATTTCAAACACAACAGCCCCACATTTTTAAGATTCACAGTTAGGGACATTGTTGCTGCTGTGCACACTGGAAAAGCTGTTTTAAAAGCAGAGAAGTATGAGAGGATCATAGTCTATGCTTTTATCCATCACTTTCCTGTGGTCCACTATCTTCTGGCCTCCAACTACCTATCACAGCACTTAGAACTGTTACTAAAAGTAAGTTTAAATACCCTGCCTGCCCACTATTTCTCTTCTGCACGTGGAGGAGCATGTGCCACTCTCTTCAAAAGACAATCAGGACTCACAAAAGTATACAGTAGAAATATGTCTATGAGAACAATAATTATGTTGCTGAGGCAAGCATTGGAGGAAAGTTAATTTGGATCAGTCTGTGATTCAACTCAACTAACGAAGTAGGAAAGATACATGAAGAACCTAGTTTGAAATAACTAGACTCTTTCTAGAAAATGGTCCTGCTAGAGAGCCCTTATGGATTGGACAAGACACAATGTTTCCATACCACTCTAAAGTTGCCAAGACTGGCCAATCTGATCTCATTCCCCCAAATTCTATGTGAACAGCCACAGAATACCTAGTAGACTGTGTCAGATTGCATCTTCAACGAAACCTGTGTCAGGGTAAGGAAGTGAACTTTTGAATGGCATATGTTTGTAAGAGAATGGCTTGTACATACAGTAGCCCATGCATATGTCTTGTATCAGTAATCTGACTGGAACTAAGTATAAAGGGGAAGGAATACAGAATAAGTATAGTCACATAATATTATTTTCTGCATGTGTGCCTTTATGTCAGTTTTTGACCCTGACGACTGCCCAGACTAATCCCTGCAGTGCCTTTGTGTCAGGTTTTGTGGCAAGGTTTTGGGAACATCGCTTGTTATTAAGAGCTGCGGTGGCACAGTGGTTAGAATGCAGTATTGCAGGTTGACTCTGCTTGCTGCTAGGAGTTCAATCCTGACTGGCTCAAGGTTGACTCAGTCTTCCATCATTCCAAAGCTAATAAAACGAAGATTCAGATTGTTGAGGGCAATATTCTGACTCTGTAAACTGTTTAGAAAGTGCTGTAAAGCACTATGAAGCAGTATATAAGTCTATGTGCTATTGCTATTCTATGTGCTGTTGCTATTGTCTCTTTCCTAGGGCTGAGGGGAAGTGACTGGCCTAAAGCCATCTGTCTGGTTCCATGCCTAAGGCAGGTCTAGAACTCTCAGCCTCCCAGTTGATGCCTTAACCATTACACTAAACTGGCTCATACATCCATATATACATTTTCCACAATTATGAAATAAAACTAATTTCAGTAAATTAACTTCATGCTAAATGTGTACAAGGCTTTTCTGCCCAAAAGAAGTAAATGTAAATGTGGAACTTGTACAGTCTGACCCAAGGGATCAGCTTAACTTCTGAAATGCAAAGAACAACCTGAGCCATGCTGACCACAACATTCTTATCCTCTCTGCCAAGTAGAGCAGAGGTGGCACAGTTGGCCTTTATTTGTTAAGAAGTGACAGAGACAGGAGGGAATGTCTCTCCATTCCCAGTTACAGGGTGATCAATTAGGATGCTGGGCCACAAATTGGATTTAATGGTGATTCTGGACAGCCAACATGCTTCTCTATATTTTAGTCTTCTCCCAGGAATTCTCCCAGTCTTCTCCAATTTCATCTCCCAAATGAAATTCAATGTAGAGAAAAGTAAAGTCCTACACTTAAGCAAGAAAAACCAAAAGTACACATATAGACTGGATGAAACCAGGCTTAATAGCAGTGACTGTGAGAGGGATCTTGGAGTCCTAGTGGACAACCAGCTAAATAGGAGCCAGCAATGTGCAGCAGTAGCCAAAAAAGCCAATGCAATCCTAAACTGCATTAACAGAGGGATACAATCAAGATCAAGTGAGGTACTAATACCACTCTATCAAGCCTTAATAAGACCACATCTAGAATGCTGCATCTGGTTTTGGTCACCACACTATAAAAAAGATGTTGGGACTCTAGAAAAAGTGCAGAGAAGAGCAAACAGGATGATTAGGGGACTGGAGACTAAAACATATGAAGAACGGTTACAGGAACTGGGCATAGCTAGTCTAGTGAAGAGAAGGACCAGGGGAGACATGATAGTAGTCTTCCAATATTTGAAGGGCTGCCACAGAGAGGAGGAGGTCAAGCTATTTTCTAAAGCACCTGAAGGCCAAACAAGGAATAATGGATGGAAACTGAACAAGGAGAGATTTAACCTGGAAATAAGGAGACATTTTCTGACAGTGAGAACAATCAACCAGTGGAACAGCTTGCCTTTGGAAATTGTGGGAGCTTCATCGCTTGAGACTTTCAAGAAGAGATTGGACTGCCATTTGTCAGAAATGGTGTAGGGTCTCCTGCTTGGGTGGGGGGTTGGACTAGATGACCTGCAAGTTCCCTTCCAACTCTGTTAATCTGTTAATCAGTACTGGTCCTCTCCTGCAGTACTGGATTGCAGTCCTTAGCAGTTCCAGACAGCATAGACCACAGTATCCAGCTATTCAAGAAATTATAGCCTGATGCATCTTGAGGGTATCAATTTGGCAAAGGC